TAGATACTAAGTTATATCAAGTTTGGTAAGAGTTTAAATTAAGTCGTACCTTGAGACCCAAAACCTTGTGGAATAAGGAAGGGTTTTGAGGCCTATTAAGGAGTCCTAATTTGTTTCCTTTTGCGTGAACCGATTAAGTGGGCTTGGAAGATTAGTCAAGTCGGCCCTCGGTGATGAGTAGAGACGACTTGACCTAGCCCTATATAAGCTTAAGGCTCTGCTCTCATCAAACACGTTATCTAAACCTATTCTCATCATAAAGAGAGAGCTGAAACAGATTCTGTGAGAGAGCAGAAGTCTTGAGCCGTTCTTGTTCTTGCTAGGGTTGCTGCTGCTACGGGTTAGATGAGTTCAGAAGCTGTGTACTCAAGGAAGATGGCTCTAGGTATGTCTTCATGTCTTTATACGTATTACATATTTGTGTGAAAGATCTAGATTATATATAACTTTAGAAATCTAACATATTATTATTATGGCAAGTGGTTTATATTCTTGTTAAAACCTTAATGATATCAATTCAACAATGTCACACATAAAAATAAAGTAATACCGCACGAGCAATAGACAATAATTGAAACTTATTCTTGAGTACAGTCTTAAAGGTTTTAACAAATGATAAACCAGTTGGCACCACACTATACAATCAATAATTTATCACACACAAAAAAAGGAGTATTATTCAAGCTGGTCCTGTACTGCTTTGTAGTCTTATGGAGATAAACACCACTGTGTTGAAGCCTATATAACTCCGAAGGGGCTCGAAACTTTGTAAACCCTCCTTTGCCCATACCCTTTTTTTGTTCGTTTGATTTTCACTTCATATAATGCACCCAAGTGGGGCAGGAAAGTGTAGAATTTGGACAATGTGTAGCAACACAATTGTATTTGGATTTGAACAAAAGTTTAGAAATGAAAGGAAAGAAAGACAAAGGAAAAAAAAAAGGAAGAGGAAATCACAAAATAAACCCACCACCAACAAAGTGTACGTGCATTATTATTTGTAGTAAATTCCTCGCTTATTCATAAGTTCGTTACCCCTAAGCTTTCTATATATAAGCTTCTACAGGGGCAAATTTTAATTTTACTTAGTCAAAGACCACAGCTATTGGGCTAGTGACATTATGCTTATCAGAAACCCATTTCAAATATCCCTGACCAAATGCTACGCCATCCTTCCCAGCGCCATCTTGTGCTATAAACTCCACATGGAATGTAATCTCCTGGTTGACCTCAGTGAATGTAAGCACCCCAGGATTCACACTCATGCCCATTTTATGTGGTACAAGAAGATCCAAGTTGTAAGTTGAACTAGCCGGGCCAACATTCCTCACTGTCCTTGTATAATACTGAGACTGAGACTCATTGGACCCTATCTTAATAGAAAATGAAGGATAATTGAGCTGTGCTTCTGATATGACCCCGACTTGAGAGCAGTTCACTTTTTGTTGGGTGATGATCTGTATCTCTTTATCAGTGTAATTCAAACCACACAAGTAAGGAATGTAATCCTCTGCTTGTGTGTCGTAGATGAGCCCCGGGTCATTTGCTTTTGAAGGGTTAACATGGCCTGCACCCATTGCAAAGACGTTCGCAGGATTTTGGTCTTGATCAACAATGGGCAAGCCTGCAAGGTTTAGCACATCAGCAGTTGTCATGATGGCAGATTTAATTGCAGCTGGTGACCAATCAGGGTGTGAGCTCTTGACCAAGGCTGCAATTCCACTTAGGTGAGGACAAGCCATTGAAGTACCGGAAATTATGTTAAATGTTGCCTTAGATTGCGTGGCATTGTCCACAGAAACAGGCCATGCTGCTAGGATGTCAACACCGGGTCCAATGATGTCAGGTTTCAAAATTCCGGGGCTTTCTTTGTTTGGTCCTCTTGATGAAAAGAAAGCAACTCTGGGAGCAAGTGCGTCTCCAATGACAGTGCCGTTGAACAAGATTGTGGCTGTAGGACTTGAGGTTGAGCTTATATAAGACTTAATTTGCAACCCTGCAGCATAACTCACATGTGTCGTGGGTAGCGCATGAGATTCAGCTAAGGTGCTAAAGCCGTCAGTTTCTTGGTTCATGAGAATCATGGCAGCACCACCAGCTCGTTTCACTTCTTCCCCTTTGGCAATATTTGTTACTCCTCCACCTGTCTCACACAGTACTATTTTCCCTTCAACGTTTTCGAGAGTCCCTTCCTTGCAGAAAGCTGATGGCTGGTTGCCAACTGAGCCTGCATAAACAAGAGGTAACGTAACTTTTGAATCGAAATCTTGAGGCTGGGAAAAAGATTTTCCATCAAAATGGTTATTTTTATCATCCCCGATCTGCGCTTCTGATTTTAATATTCTATCAGTAGTGCTTGCTCCAACTGTCAGAATCCATGGGGCCTCGTTTGATAAAGAACGGTTGAAAGGACCAGAATTTCCACCTGCACAGCTGAAAAAAATTCCCTTTTGAATTGCTGCAAATGCACCAATTGCAATCACATCCTTATAGAAAGGAATTGAGGGGCCTCCAAGTGAGAGTGAGAGCACATCCACGCCATCATCAACAGCAACATCAAGAGCAGCCATAATGTCAGCTTCAGCACAACCAAAGCCAGTGCAGACTTTGTAAACTGCCAAGTGAGCTTTCGGTGCCATGCCAGCCGCTGTGCCATTGGCCTGTCCAAACACGCTTGCGCCTTCCACAAACCTTCCAGCAGCAGTGCTAGATGTGTGGGTGCCATGGCCATCTAAGTCAAATGGAGGACCTGGTGAGGGTTGACCTTTGCCTACTCCCATGAAATTTCTTGCACCGATAAGCTTGTTATTGCACAAGGTCCCATTGAACTCACACTTACCTTTCCATTTAGCAGGAGGAGGTGGCATTCCTTCATCACTAAATGAGGGATGATCAGGTGTAATCCCAGTATCCAAAAGTCCAATTATCACACCTTCACCATAGTTTGTTGCTTCCCAAAGTCCGAATCCTTGGTGCAAACCCAAGAAGTCGGGACTATGAGTAGTCTGCAACGGCAGAATCTTCTCTGGACGAGCTGACACAAACCCTTCTATCGTTTCCATCGTTTTTACTTCCTCTGGTGTCAGTCTTGCTGCAAACCCTGTTGCCACATTGTGGTATGCATAAATCATCCGTTGTTTCGTCAGCTGGTTTGAGTTTGCATCAGTTTCAGGCAAAAATGACTGATACCAACTCTCCAAATCTTCATGAGATTCTGCAGAAAATTTCTGAGAGGTTGGCTTTTGCACCCAAACAATATAAGTTTGCATGTCATTGTTGCCATCATTTTTCTCAGCAGCTACTGATTCCAGCGCCATTTCATCATAGTCTGCAACTGTAAGTGATAAACAAAACATGAAAACTAAACCAACAAGATATATAACCTGCATTCCTGCTGCACCCTTTTTGTTCTCCATCTTGATTTTGGTTAAGAAGAATTAGGAATAGCAAGTTGTATGTGCTAGCACTTCAAGCACCTATTTAAAGCAAACATTGGCCGGCATTTCTTGTACTGATTATTATACTTATTAGAGGTAATTGTGAAGGTTGACTGGTGGTGCTTGGTTAAGAGGCTGGCAAATGGGGTTGGGCATAAGAGTATAAAAATGAGGGAGTTTTGTAATATACATATACAAAACTTGGTAATAATCGATGAGCTATAACAAAGCAGCGATGGACCTTATGTAAAACTATAGATTAATTTTTTTGGATTTAATTTGGAGGTTGGTTGTTCTTGTATTGGGTGGTGCCAACTGGTTTGTCATTCTTGTTCAAACCTAAATTACAAAAATGAATATATTCAACCTGGCCCTGTGCTGTTGTTCTCGGGACAGCGACTGCTATTGAAGATGACATCTGGTGTAGGTTGTAGCAACAATAGTTTGAAGCTTTTTTGCTTTATTGACTTGATTTGGCATCTTCTCTGTTTTACAAAGCTCTAACCAAACATGATTGGAAGATTCATTGTGGATATGTATACCTGATCTGGAGTTACTATACCAATTAGAGGTATAGCTAGCTGCTAGTCACACTGAAAATGAAAAACTTACAACATGAAACCTTGGAACACCCAGAATCCATCTATCAAAATTACAAAGCAAATCTACTGAGGCATGGAGAGTTTCATATATATGACAACTACAAAGTGAATCACTCAATATTGTTAAAGCACCAGTGACAAAGTTAACCTCCATGAAAATATGTTAAAACTGCGTATTGTCAAAAGGGAAGGAAGTTGAGGTTCCACTTCAAAACCAATTGGCTATGGAGGCTAGGGTTTCAGAGGAATAATTCCGTAGATGGAAAGGAATTATTCCTCCCCGATTAGGTGAGATTTGATTAATTAGGGATTTGATTTAATTGATTTAAATCAAATCCCTAATTAGGGTAGGAATCAAATCAATTCCCATTTTAATTAGGTAATTGCCAATTTAATTGGGTAACTCCCAATTAAATTGGGTAACTCCCAATTAGGTCAAATAATCCCCAAATTGAAGGAATTATTTGACCTAGGGTGATTTAATTCGGTTCCCACAGAGATTACTTCATTTAATACAACCTATTTCTTCTTGTTGTGATTTTTTATTTTTATGAGTTAAAAATATTTTCCATTTCACACATGTTATTGTTACTTATCAATTAATACGTTTTATTGTCGTTCAGTAACACATTATACTTATACAAATGCCTATATTGTTTCCAATTATAAGTACCTGAAATTTTGATATGCAAACCCAAAACACAAATTTCAAAACAAAGACCGAATTAGATGATTCCTGCGAAATTTCTCTAGGAAAGTTATAATTAAAAATATTTGTAGGCACATTATTATTAAATTGTAAATATATATGCGGATACATAATTATTCGTAGTATATTACCTACATCATAGCTCTTGGCCTGGATAAAAAGTGAGCTTATATAGGGTTCTGCAAGGCCAAATTTTAACTCTAGGTAGATTCAAAGACCACAGCTATTGGACTAGTAACATTATACTTATCAGAAAACCATCTCAAATATCCCTGAGAAATCGGTACGCCATCCTTGCCAGCGCCATCTGCTGCGCTGAACTCCACATGGAACGTAAGCTCCTGGTTTACCTCTGTGAATGTGAGCACCTGAGGGTTCACACTCATCCCCATTTTATGTGGTACAAGAAGATCCAAGTTGTAAGTTGAACTAGCCGGTCCAACGTTCCTCACTGTCCTTGTATAATACTGAGACTGAGTCTCATTGGACCTTATTTTAATGGAAAATGAAGGGTAGTTTAGCTGTGCTTCTGGTATGGCTTCTACTTGAGAGCAGATCACTGCTTGTTTGGTGATGAGCTGTATCTGTTGGTCTGTGTAATTCAAACCACACAAGTAGGGAATGTAATCCTTTGGTTGTGTGTCATAGACGAGCCCCGGGTCATTAGCTTTTGAAGGGTTAACATGGCCTGCACCAGTTGCAAAGATGTCCGCGGGCTCAAGCCTTTGATCAACAATGGGCTTGCCCGCAAGGTTTAGGACGTTGGCGGTTGTCATGATGGCAGACTTAATAGCAGCTGGAGACCAGTCAGGGTGTGAGCTCTTGAGCAAGGCTGCAATGCCACTCAGGTGAGGAGTTGACATTGAGGTACCTGAAATTATGTTAAATGTTGCCTTAGATTGTGTCTGGTCCACGGCAACAGGCCAGGCTGCTAGGATGTCAACACCGGGTCCAATGATGTCAGGTTTCAGAATTCCAAGGCTTGCAGAGCTTGGTCCTCTAGACGAAAAGGAAGCGACTTTGGGAGCAAGTGCATCTCCGATGACAGTGCCGTTGAACAAGATTTTGGCTGTAGGACTTGAGGTTGACCTTATATAAGACTTAATTTGCAACCCTGCAGCATAACTAACATGCGTCGCAGGCAGTGCATGAGATTCAGCTAAGGTGCTAAAGCCATCAGCCTCTTGGTTCATGAGAATCATGGCAGCTCCACCAACTCTTTTCACTTCTTCCCCTTTGGCAATATTTGTTACTCCTCCACCTGTCTCACACAACACT